GCTCAGACCCTGCAGCATCTACATCGGCGACTCATTCAGACTGTTTGTCGATGGAAGTTCGAACCGACAAGGAGCAGGGGCAGGAGTACTGCTGATATCTCCAGATGGAGAAATAATAGGACAATCCATCCGTTTAGGGTTCAAGGCCTCAAACAATGAAGCGGAATACGAAGCATTAATTGCAGGACTAAAACTGGCAGCAGCAGCAGAAGCAGATGAGGTAATAGTTTTTTGTGATTCACAACTTATTGTTAACCAGTCAAAAGGAGAATTTGCAGCCAGAGACGAAAGGATGTCGGCATATGCAAAAGAGGTCATCAGATTAGCAGCCCTATTTCAGAACTGCAGACTACTCCAAGTTAGCCGAGATGACAACATCCACACCGACACGTTGGCTAACCTGGCAAGTTCAATGCAAACTGGAAAAACAAGGACAATTATGATCGACTATATGTCGGACCCGAGCATAGAACCACGGAGCACAGGATATGAAGCAATGTGTGTGGACATGGGGCCAAGCTGGATGGATGCAATTGTTGCTTTCCTGAAAGAAGGAAAGCTGCCAGAAGATCGTAAGGAGGCACACAAAGTCAGACTGAAATCGGCAAGATTCTGTCTAACAGAAGATGGACACCTCTACAGAAGGTCCTTCACTGGACCACTTTTAAGGTAGGTACACCCTTTGCAGGTTGAAGATTTCCTATATGAAATTCATGAAGGAATTTGTGGAAGCCATGCTGGGGGCAGATCATTAGCCCACAGGGCCATTACCTAGGGGTGTTGGTGGCCCTATATGCAAAAGGATGCTGAAGCCTACGTAAAGAAGTGTGAACAATGCCAAAAGTTTGCACCTTTGATACATCAGCCAGCTGCTGACCTAAACCCAGTGTCCAGCCCTTGGCCGTTTGCCCAATGGGCCTGGTCTGGTTGGGCACCTTCCCTGGCAACTGGCAGAGATAAAATACTTGCTGTCTGCAACAGAATTACTTACAAAATGGATAGAGCAGAGCAAACTTCATTGCCAAAATCGAGATTGTGGAGTCAAGAACTTTATATGGAGAACATCATCAACCGAGCTTGGCATTCCAAAGACAATAGATGCTGACAACGGAACACAGTTTGATCAGAACAAACTTCACAAACTTTTGTGCGAAATTCAAAATCAGAATTACTTTTCAACACCAAGTTTTCCCCAAGTAATGGGCAAGCAGAAGCATCCAACAAGTAATTTTGGATGGAATAAAAAAGAGGCTGCAGGCAGCAAAGGAAAGTGGGTAGACGAGTTGCCCAACGTGCTTTGGGCATATCGGACTACACGAGAAGATCAATAGGGGAATCCCCTTTGCCATGCTTTATGCACAGACTGTCATCCATTGGAGATCGGCATCCCAGGGATCAGGACCCAGGGAGTAGAATGCACCAACACAATACTCTTAGCCGAGATCTGGATCTTTTGGAAGAACGAAAGAGAAAACAGCTGCAATTCAGCCTCGCATTATACCAGCAACAGCTTGCTAGAGCTTACAACAAGAAAAGTCAAATCGAAAGAGATTTTGCAAGTCGGGTGACCTAGTCTTGAGAAAAGTCGTCGGCAACAAGAAGATCCCAAAGAGGGCAAGCTTGGCCCAAACTGGAGGACCCTAAAGAATTACTTCGGTATTAGGTAATGGAGCTTATCGGCTAGAAGATAACGAGCGGCAAAGCACTGCCAAGATTGGAACACTTGTAATTTGAAATTCTTCTATCATTAGATGTGCAGTTTTTTGGCCGATGATCAATAAAATCTTCTTCTTTAAAACACATATATTTTGATAAAGTTACATATCTGGTGTTTTTGTGAGACATCTGAATAATGAGAAACCCAAGTAAACTCAGGTTTCCAATTGGGGGCAGAGAGAAGGACAGAGACAACCTTAATTCACTTGTTTGAAATTTATAGCACATTTCAAGTGGAAATTAAGCTGATTCCTCTATCTTCACTTGTTGAATTTGTAGCAATTTACAAGTCGAAGTTAAGCCGAGATTATTCCTTAATTCACTTGTTTGAAATTTGTAGGCAATTTACAAGTTGGAATAAGCGAGTTCTATCTTCACTTGTTGATTTGTACAATTTTATAAGTTAGAATTAAGCTGATTCTTTTTCAGCTTGTTGAAATTTGTAGCAATTTACAAGTTGAAGTTAAACTGAGATGGTTCCTTATCTTCAGTTGTTGAAATTTGTAGCAATTTATGAAGTTAAACTGAGATGGTTCCTTATCTTCACTTGTTGAAATTTGTAGCAATTTACAAGTTGAAGTTAAACCGAGATGACTGTTTCTCTTCACTTGTTGAAATTTATAGCAATTTACAAGTTGAAGTTAAACCGAGATTACTGTTTCTCTTCACTTGTTGAAATTTGTAGCAATTTACAAGTCGAAGTGAAACTGAGGTTATAGTTTGCACACTTATAACAATCTACAGGTTGGTCCAACCAAAGAAGATGCTTAACACTTGTTGAAATTTGTAGCAATTTACAAGATAATGTTAAGCCGACATATGATCATCTGTGGAAATTTGCGGCAATTTACAGGTTGAGGTAAAAGCTAAGAATATTGTTTTAACACTTGTTGAAATTTATAGCAATTTACAAGTAGGTTAGACCGAGATCACTGTTTAAATACTTGTTGAAACATGGAAAAAAGTTTGCAAAATTCACTTGTTGAAATTTGTAGCAATTTACAAGTAGATCATTGTTATAACTTGAGAAAAATTTACAGTATATGTTCACACTTGTTGAAATTTATAGCAATTACAAGTAGGTTAGACCGAGATCACTGTTTAAATACTTGTTGAAACTTGGAAAAAGTTTGCAAAATTGACATTGAATAGTATATGTTTTACACTTGTTGAAACTTATGAAAAGTTTGCAGGACAGTATCTTGCCAAAGTAAAACTTGTAGTTGTTAAACCCGAGATATGTGACCCCGAGAAGATTGCACAAAGGTGGCAAGATATGAAAGGCATACAAAATATTCTAAGTATAGAACCATGCAGAAGCAAATCAAGAGAAATTAAAAGATTGAAGCATCCATAGAAAAACAGTTGCAGTTGTATACAAAAAAAGGCACTACGGCCTACCAGAAGTAAATTGTTTCGAAGTAACAAAGAAAGGCACATCGGCCATGAAAGGAAGCTTACATTGTCCAGAAAACAAAACAAAGTACAAGGGTGCAAAAGAAAAGACATGAAAGTTAAAACTTTTCAACATCAGCATCTGGTTGGATTTGAACTTCAGAGGTCTCCTGAAGAGATACCTCGGCTTCCTTATCTACAGCAATTTCGGCATCAATCTCGGCAAGGGTTTCGTCAATACTCTTGTTGACCTGAGGAACGTCGGACGAACCCTGCTCCGGGGTAAATTCCTTGGCAACTGCATCACCATCTTCATCTTGAGTCAGGTCCAAGACCTGCTCATTCAGAGAAGGAGACTTAGCCCCAGCAGCCTCCCTGGGTTTCCTTACCAAAATTTCAGCCTCATCCTCGTCCTCACCTTCATCTTTATCCTCAGATTCAGAAGCATCCTCAGGTTGACTTGGAGGTGGAGGTGGTGGGAAGGGAAGAGGGATAGCATCGGCATTGCGGAAGGGTGAATCAGTAGGAAGATCAAGTTTTCTTTATCAGGGACATCCAACGAAGGGAGAAGCCCCTGTTGCATGCGTGCCTGACCTGAAGTTTGTATTCTTCAGTAACGTCAGCCATACCCTGGGCGTATGCCTTTTCATCAGCCTCCTTGATTTCAACATCCTTGGTGGCCAGGGCCTCCTGCAGTTCCTTTTTGGCTTGGGCCTTTCTATCCTCGGCCTCTATCTTGTCGGCTTCAGCAACCTTCCTTATGGCCTCGGCTGATTCAGCTTTTTCCTCGGCTATCTGTTGCGCCTTAGTTGCAGCCTCGGCCTGCTCTTCCAGCTTCTTCATTTTTAGTTGAAGACCTTTGTTGGTCTTCTGCAGGGCAGAAAACTCCTTCTTCATCTCGGTCATTCTTTCCCGATTCTTAAAAGATTACATTGAAAACGAATGGGCATGCTGGATCACCTGAAAGAAAATAGAAGTGTTGGAAAATATTTTAAGTATGAAACAGAAAGAAAGTCAAAAGTTCAAAGCAGGAGCACTTACTTGAACGGAGTGCTGGAGCATTAACGCGTAGTTCTCATACTCATTATACTCAGCATTTCGTTCCAGGTCCCCTGGAAGGAGAAGAGTAGTGCTAAGGGCGACGCCGACATTAATGTCATCGACGCTCTCACTAGACATGATTGGCTTGTCCTCCAAAGTAATCTTTGGGGCCCAGGGGACGTCGGGTTTTTTGGACCCCGAAGCCGTTGCAGAAGACGACCTCGCTTTCTTTGACTTTGAAGATTTTGCTGGCTGTGTTTCAGCCGACCTTTTTGTAGAAACAGTCTTCTCATTCCCAGCCAATTGTGAAATTGGTAGAACATCTTCATTCTCCACTACAGTGGCTTTGGCATTTGGCTGAGCCTTTTTTGTTCTTTTTGGCTTTGGTGGGGGCATGGATTGGGTTGGTTTAGCATCAGCATCAACTGGAAGGTCGGCTAGGAGATCTTGGGCAACAGGCTTCGGGCGACCCATCTCAACAGTCTTGACAAGTCGACGCTGACGTCTTTTTTCTAGTATTGGGATTAAGTATGGGGCTGAAGTAGATGACAGATCAGCTGGGTCAGAAGTGGATCCTTGGTCTGCTCGTGATATGGAAGCAGTGGGAAGAGTTGTGGCAGTAGGTGGAGAAAGACTCTTCTTCTTCTTCTTTGGGACGTCGGGCAGAGTGAATTTGTACGTAGGAATAAAGTTTAGAAGAAGAGGTGCTTTCCTTTTGTGGACAGGCAAATCCAGGAGCTTTTTCAGGTCCTTGCTAGGAACGTAAGATTGGCGAAAGTCTTTCGCTGGCTTGCGAACGTCTGCAAGAAGAAACATACATTAGAAACAGATAAGATATTGAAGACATGAAAAGAAACAACTACGTAAATAACATTGGGCTCTTACCCTTGCCCTCTTTAACCGTTCAAGGAAGAGGGTATAGATGGACATCTTCGTCTGGGGCAAATTCCCAATTTCCAGAAACAATGAAGTAGTCATCTCCAGCCCCTCTTTGGAGTCTGGGAGGTCGGCTACGATTTTGAATTCAGTGGACCTCGGCTTGAGGTAGTAGACGTAACCTTTTTCCTTCAGGCTAAGAGGGCACATGGTGTAACAATACTGTATGTCGGCTAGGGTGATTCTAACATTTTCTTGTCTGGCTAAGGCGATGATACCAAAAATCACTCGATAAGAGTTTATGGCAAGTTGCATAGGGTTCAACTTATAATAATGCAGAATCTCGCGAAAAAGAATGTTAAGTGGAAGCCGAAGTCCACACTCAGTAAAGGCTACAATAGGGAGAGGCATGGTGTTTTCGGTAGGCATGATGGAGTCATCATCCCTAGCTAGTCTCAAGTGGACATCGGCAGGAACGGAGAACTCCTGCCTAAAGTACTCAAGTTTGGTCGGGGTATCAACCCTATGTCTCCACATACCCATAACGTCGGCCTAAAGATAGAAGGCTAGGTTTCAGAAAGAAGGTGCTCTTAAGGGGTTACCGGGACCTCGGCAAAACCCTAGGTATATACTGGTAAGGATTGTTTTAGTTTTCCCTAAAAATTGAAGGTTCTATAAACAAAACCCAAACCTAAATCTATGAAGGCGAAGATTGAGAGCAAAAATTAAAGGCAGAAATCTGGAAAACAAGAAACAAAGAACGACGTTTCAGAATCAAAGAACAGAGGTATGGTTCTCAGAAGCGAAACAAATACAGAAGTAAAAGGTCAAGAACAGTGGCAAGAAAAGTGTTGAAACAATGCAAGTGTTCAGAATATAAGTGAAATCATGGGATAGATGCATCCAGATGAATAGTTCAGCAAATCAAAGGTTTGAACAGAGCAATAATGGCAACAAGTAAACGAAAGCACATAGAAGAAATTGGGAGTGAAAGGAACAGAGGCTTACCAGAACAAATGAAGCCGGAATGAAAGTCGCTGAGATAAGGCAACGGTTACAGACACGACGGAACGGCGAAACCCCCATTGAAATGGAGGAGTGAAGACGGTTGCAGAACTTGAAGTTAGAATAATGGCGGATTTGGGAAAGTTTTAGAGAGAGAGAAAGCCAGAAAATCAAGTGCAAAAGTAAGGAAACGAAGAAAGAAAGTAAAGTTTTATCAAAAACTTGAAGCGGCGGTAAAACACGGCATTTATTGCGCCTGGAGGAATGCGTGCGTCAGACGGCGCAGACGGATGAAAGACGGCTTGCAAGCGCGTCACAGACACGGGCCAATGAAGATAGAACACATAAGGGGAACGGTTGTGAAGAGGTGCATGACAGCTCATGCGCGTGGGGGAGTTCGTTTGAGTTCCTGTTCTCTGATGAAGACATGTCGGCCTAAAATGAATGATCTCGGCCGAAGAGTTCTAATGCCGAGGTACTAGAAGAAAATACAGATATAGGTTCCATCACCTCAGAATGCCGAAGAACCTAGGAGGCAGTTGTGGGGATGTATTTTCTGAATACCAACACGTGGCATGGTGACGCCGATGTGTCAGCCGAGGTGCCACGTGTCCTAGTAGCTATGCCGAGGTCACTTAGGCAAGGCCGAGGTGATCTTCGAAGATATCGGAATCCGAGATAAGCGGATAAGGAACAAGAGTCCTAGAGTAAAGAGAAGACTTTGCTAAAGATAAGGATAAAACTCTTAGGGAGTTTATCTTTATCTCTTGAAGAGTCCAAAGTCAGTATTGAATTGGAGTCCATAGAAGTCAGGCTTCTAGCAGGACTTGGATTGAGTAAACTATAAAAGAGAGGCACCCCCGTGGGTCTAAGGTACGCAGTTTTATACTCAAGCTTGTGAGTTTAGCACTTGATTATCTTTGAGAGATATACTGACTTGATCGTCGGAGTACCCCCGGGTGGAAGAGCCACCGCCGGAGCCTTTTTTTTCTGTTGCAGGTTTGCTGAAGTTATCTATTCTGCCGGTGCTCTCCAGCTGATTACTAGGCGGGCAGTGTGGTCAGAAAATTACCCACACACTTTATATTCAAAATAAGTCCGTTGGTGTTATAATGAGAAGGACCATTTTATCCTGATATTATAATTAAAAAGCCATGCCATAAAGGTATTTGTGAAATTTTATATAATGGTGAATTATACTAACAGTTCTTATAGTTTGGGGTTCGTGTCACTTTAATCACTGACTTTTCAATTATGATACATTTGACCTTAAATTTTTGGATCTTATTTCAAATAAGGACAATTGAAAATACCATTACTCAATTTTAAGGGCAAAGTTGTCAATTCGATAAAATATAAACTAATTTAAAAAAATAAATGTCAAAAAAATATTTTTAAATTTTAAAAATATTGTATACCCACTAAAGATAAAATTATGTAAAATTGATAAATTTTTTAGACATTTATTCATTTATTTTTTTATCAAATTAATTTTTATTATGTGTTTAGATGATGATCATGTAATGGGTGGTTGTTAGGCTTAATGCGTAATCGATATCTTTAATATATGAAATGTTTTTAGTTTTGGATTTTTTGATTTAATGAATTGGTTTAATAATGATATCAAAATTGTCGCCATATTTGACTTTTAAAAAAATAGAAACTAATTTAATGAAAATAAAACAACCACTCATTACATGATCATCATCCAAACACATAATAAAAATTAATTTGGTAAAATAAATAAATAAATAAATGTCTAAAAGATTTATCAATTTTACATAATTTTATCTTTAGTGGATAAAAATAATTTTTAAAATTCAAAAATATATTTTGACATTTATTTTTGTCACATTAATTTATATTTTATCAAATTGACGACTTTATCTATGAAATTGAACAATGGTATCTTCAATTGTCCTTATTTCGAACAAGATTTAAAATTCAAGGTCAAATGTGTCACAATTGAAAAGTCAGAGACCAAAGTGACGTAAGACCCAAATTATAGGGACCATTAGTGTAATTTGTCATTTATGTAATCAATCACATTAGTGATTGCTACTTTGGTGGTAATCAAAATAAACATAATTTTTTCATCAAAGAAACGAACAAACAAAATAAATTTCATATAATTTTTGTTTATATATATTTTCAATTTAATGTCATACACTAAATGATTTCTTTATTGAATCCCACTATGCTCATAATCTCACCCAACTAACTCTAAAAACAAGTAAGACCTTTGTCTCGTACATTTGTGTATCACTAAGAAATTTTTTTGTATTCTTAACACAACTATATTTACATGTAAGAGTGTAAATTTGACCCAGCCTATTGTCGAGCCGTGCAGACTCCAATCAAAATTCAAGCTGGGCCACGGGCCAAAAAATTAGGCCCAAGCCCAGGGGTATTCGGGCAAGCTAGCAGGCTAGGCCTCGGCCTTGAGCTTGGGACAGACCTAGACTTGGACTTGGGCTTGGGGTGAGCCTATTCTAACCCTGACCATTTTTTAATTTTTTTCAGCCAAATTTTTTTTTTATACCAAAAATGACACTATTCGGGCCTAGCAGGCCGGGTTTCAAAACAAACGATCTAACCCTAGGGTCTTGGGTTGGGCCCGAGTGGGCTTCCTGTGGATTGCGAGCCGGTGAGTCAAATTTACACCCCTATTTACATGGTGTAGTATGAGTCATTAGGCCCAATACAAGGTTTTTTTTTTTTTTTAATTTAATTGGTTTGTTATTTTTAAAAAAAATTTATATAGATTATTCATGATTTTTTATTTATTTATTAATTCAATAGTCACAATTACGTAATTGTATCGACTATTATTTTGAAAAAATGAATGGTCAATTTTTAAAATAATATTTTATATTAAGTTTTTGAAAGATAAATGTGATTAATCTTATAATTATAAATATCAAATTATCTTAATTTTTTATAAATGATCTATGCACAAGAACTTGTAGTGTGAACAAATTAAA